AACGATATAAAAGGAATATACAAACAAAACAACCCCTACAAAATAAATAAGAATTATAAAGCTTTTTTTAAGTAACCTTAACAATTATCAAACTAGTAAGTTCTGCCTTATCACATAGACTCTCTATACAACATAACCCTAAAGATTTATTACTATGAGGTATTTGGAGGAATTGGTAAAAGCGATGCACGGCCTGTCTGGGCTGAGGGACTCAAGCTGCTTTGGGGTAAAGAAGAGAGAACCTTTGGTTTGTCAGCAAGAAAGTGGAAAAAAACATTTTCCTTTGGTATCAAAGAAAGTTTCATTGCATGGTTGCACGGCAAAAAGCACCACGGTGAAGAATTATTCCTTTTTTCATTAGTGGCCTTTCTAAGAGGCTGAGGTATTCAAAGAGTATAAGGTGAGAGATAAAGAGGTCAACAGCGGTTTAACACTTTGGTTCAAGCAAGGCACTCGTCCTATGAGTTTACAAAGTTTGCAACATGTTTGCCTAGAGCTTTATTATTATTATCCTTATCATCGTCAGTAGTAGCGGTTGTAGCAAGAGAAGTATTTGTAAGGTTATTCGCATTACCACTAAGAATGAAGACAAGGTTACACACTGAGTGAAGGTGAGGAAGGGGGTCAGGGAGGACAGGGGGAGGAAGGAGGATGAGTTCCCTTTCCAGACCAAGGCCGTGCATGAAAAATCTTTGGTATTCTTTGGTATCATCAATGTGATTAAAATCACCAATGGAAATCGAGTGAGGTAGCGTCTTTGGTTCACACTATAAATAGTAGATCTTTACACACTTTTTTTTAACTTTTTTCTTTTTTTTCTTTTTTTTTATTTTTTTTTTTTTTAACACGTGGAAGTAGCTATTCCTTACCTTTTGCTTCTTTGTCTTTAGCAAATAGTTACCAAATGTATTGTAAAGCTAACCACACCACAATAATAAACCAGGAGGCTAAGCAAAATCTCAAAATTAGCCCCTGGGCCTTTGAATGCACCCAAACGCAGCAAGATAGAAAAGGGTAAGTGCTTTCTCTTTGTTTGCTAAATGCATAGTTTTCATCCTTATGTACAAAGGAGGAGGAAGAGGAGGAGGATAAGAGGAAGAGTAGTAGAAAGAAGGACTGTTTTGGGGGGTATATATGTCTTGTTTACAACTCAGGTGAGGAGAGGTGTCCTAAGACTCTTTGGTATAAGCTCAGTGGTGTTTCCAAGACCTCCAGGCAGCAGCAGCCCCCACGGGCAGTGCCCTCCACCAACCCAGCCTTATCCTGAAATCCCTCTCGGGAGAAGAGCGCTGCTCGTGGGCAGCCCTGGGTGGGCTGGGGCGACGGGGCACCTTCCAGCCACTTCATCCACTTGGGAATTTGCTTCTGGCATTGGCTGGAACTGCAGCAAATTCTCAAGTGAAAGCCCCGTGGTGGGCTCACTCGCTCTGTTGGGTTTGCTTTACCTGAGTAAGGAGAGGAGGCAGAGGTGCCTGGAAAGCCGTGCGGGGCCAGCGCAGCCGGACGGGGGGTCTGAACATCTGTCTCAGCTCTAGTTTTTTAAAACTTTTTTTAAAAAACTTTTTTTTTCTTTTTTTTTTTCCCTGGAAAGCTAATAATGCCATTTACAATGGGGGTGGATGGGGACAGTTCACCTCTTGGCCAGCCTCCCCTCGTGGGTCCCTGTGGTCAGGTTTGGATGCAGCCTGTGAGCTGAACGCGCCTTCCTAAAGCCCACTCGCCCATGGAGCCACCTGTGACTGAAGCCCCATCTCCCAAACTGTTTCAGGTTCTGCTCCTTCTCCTAATCCTTCCTGGCAGATTTTGAAGTCCTATTTTTTTTTTAATTTGAAACTAATTTCCATTTTGTCAGGAATGAAGTGAATCGATAGAGTAACACTACCAGGACAGAGACAGGCTGTCCTGGGTAACGCAAAGCGCAGCTGTGGACAACAGCTCCCCTTTAAGGACACCCTGCCAAGGAACAGCAAGGCTCCAAGCCAGGGAGCACCAGGGAAACTGTTCAGGCTTCAGTCCGTGTGGTCGGGCAGTCTGCTCAGAGGTAAAACAGCTTTACAGGTAGAATAAGCAGTTCCATAGTTATTTGCTTCATGTGTTGAAAGGAACTAAAGAAAAGTGTGTTCTTTGCCTGTTCTGAGTGTGAGGCGTGTATTGCTCATGGGGAGAGTGGTTTTGTTCCTAATGGCTTATAAGGAACCAAAATCTTTGTATATACTTAAACAGCCATGTAAAAGAAAAACCCAAACCACTTAAAATCTATAACTTGTGCATCAGTTTTAGTGTGTGTGTATGTATATGTGCACATGTACACACACAGATACCTTCACAAAAATGTGTGTGTGTACACACGGACTATTTAGGGGCTTGAGTGTGTGTGTGTGTGTGTGTGTATCTGAGATCCTGAAATTGCATATTGGGTGCAAATTTAATGCTGGTATGAAAGTTCTCTTTGGTTTCAGCAAGTAGTCTCTCAAGACAATACAATGGAAATACTAAAAAACGCGGCAATGTACTTTGAATTTCCCTGCATTTTTAAATTCTCAAGTTTTAAATAAATAAGGCTTTCTTTTCTAAACTATAGGTACGTTACAAAGCAGTGTTTTGCTGGAAAAAAAAAACCCAAAATGTTAGTTATCACCTGTCCTTTATTAACCTTACACTAATGAGACTGCATTGATAAGATACTTTATATGTGAGCTTATTAATGTTTCCATGTCAGTTATGGCTCTGTGGGGATGGAAAGAAAGCTTGCTAAAATTTAAGCTAGAGACTCAAGAAACTCATGGATTGGATTACATTTTCATTGACAATTGCTTTGTCAGTCTTAAAGTGAGGTTAATGTAGGAAAATGTGCCAAAAACCTTGGTTTCATTTGACTTTATTTTAATAAAGAGATATTTCAGCTGTATTCTAAACACTTACTGGAATTTAACTGTATACCCTGAACCTTGACTAGACCCTGTCCTCTTGGGAAATAACTGGTGCTACAAAGTTTCTTAAGTTTGGTGTCACTAGTATTTTGAGTGGGCTACATCCCAAAAATCAGTACCTGCTAATGTTGATGGTCATTTGCTTCTGGTTTACCTTGAATTTTCTTTTCTTTTTTTTTTTTTTCTTAAAGTTGTAATTAAGATTACCTATTTCTAATCCTTGCATTGGGCCTATACCTGCAGATCTGGTTATATTGGAATTTAATATACCTAGTAGAATCACTGCAGTAATTTGAAACACCGGTTAGAAATCTAACAGGCACATATTTGGTTTATAAAGTCTATTTTCCCCTTGCACTGAAATTTAATATGCAGATGTTGCACACTTTTCTTTTTCATTTTATCAGAGTAGGAATGGGATGATCTCTCTCCTATGGGTCTGTTAGCAACAGAGCATTTAAAGCTTTTCATCTAAAAACTTTAACCTATTTCATGCATTATCCTGATTCATAGATGACAAGAAAGAATGCATAGGCCAAAAGCCTAGCCTGCTACACACAGATAGGAAGCCACAAAACTTCAGGCTGTATCTTGGTGTCACAGGAATTTTGCTATTGACTTCAGAGGCACCACGATTTGGCCTTCCCAAAGCCCCACTGCAGCTCCTGCTGGAGCTCTTCCCACCAGCACTAACTGATGTTGTACCACTATTTTCTGTAGGAAAAGACCATGAACCTCCAAAGCTGCTATTCCTTTGCCTGGTGAAGTCAATAGGTAAAAAAAAAAAAAGCAGCCCACTAATGTCAATGAGCATCAATCAGCCTCTGAGCCCTGTAGTTTTATACCTCCCAAGCCAGCTGGGCTTTGCATCCTGCAGGCCTGGGTGCCCCTCTGCAGGCTGGATGGCAGCACTGGGCTGCACCACGGGCAGGCCCTGCACCCAGCTCTGCCAGCAGCACCAGCCTGGGAGAGCAGGATGCAGCACCACAGCTACCACCACCTTACACGTGGATGTAACAGCTCATTTGCTCCCTTTGAAATCAGCAGCAAAAAAGCTCTCTGGCTTCAACAGGAGCAGCATCCCACTAGCAGCACCTGTGCTGTGACAGGGGCTGCCATCCCCTCAGATGACATTCTTTCTTGCCAGCCATGGAAAGAAACAATAATGTAGTTTTACTAATTGCAAATAACAGTCTTGATTACAAGTTTGATGTGTTATACAGTTAGATTAGTTTATACCTATAACTCTACATAGTATTTTGTGTAAAAATAGCTTTGGAATATTAAAATCATTGCAATAAAATACCTGCAATATAATTATTAAATGTGTTCTTTGGTAGCTAGTCGATTTTTTTTTTTTTTAATGGATGGAATAGTTTTCCTTTTTTTAAATCTGAACATTCCTTAACAAACAAAGAGAATGCACTGGTTTAGGTACCATTCAAAATTTCTTTGCCTAGTTTGAACTCGTTTCCAGGTGTTGCACTGGTTAAGTTCAAACCATGAAACAGCAAAACTCACACTACCGTTCCAATGGATTCAGACGACTCCACGCTGCGCTGGCCGTGCCACGGCACAACCCTCTCTGAAGACCAGCCCTGACTAAGTCCCTAACCACTGGCGTGTATGCAGTACAGACACACTATGCACCTTCATGGCAATTACTGTGGAAATGAAGAGCCATATCTGAAGAGATGTCCATTCAATGACAAGAAATCACTATGCTCCAAACCACTAAACAGCCAAGCACGGTGAAGATGATCATGGGTGAAGGTGTAAGACCAGTGGTCTGCTTCTCTTCTCTCCATGTTCTCTTTAATTCCCTCCACTTTGCTTTCTTCTTCCCCTCTGGTTTTTGCAAGTCGTCATCCTACTAAAGTGTGTGTCTTAGAACAAAGTCATAATGCAGGTGAAATAAGTCTTTGGTTTCTTTGGACTTATAAATAACATTTTTTTCAAATAGTACTAAGTATAAACCTGCTATCTTGAGGTCCTGGTCTGTCTTTTATTATTTATTTATTTATTTATTTTTAAAGCTTTTCCACCGAGGTTCAGTTCGTGGTTATTCCTTCATGCTTTGGTACAAGTGCTTGATGAAGAAGATGAGTTGCCTGAATTGGAGCTGCCCTCGTCTTGCCACTTATCCAGACTCCTCCTCCGTGCATTCATGAAAAAGTTGCTGACGGTGCTCAGCTCCAAGCCCAGCTGCTGGGAAATGGTGATTTGTAATTCTTTGGACGGACGCTTATTTTCCTTGAATATTGCATGTAGAGTTCGACGCTGGACATCCGTGAAGACCAGCCGAGGCTTTTTGGGTGTGTTCCCTCTGTCCTTCCCGTGCTCCTGTTCTTTCCTCTTGCACGCTGCAAGAAAAGGGAGGAGGGTTAGAGAGAGGCTGGCAGAGTGTGCGGGCAAACTAGGGAAGAATTTCACCTTATTTAATCTATTATCTCTTTTTCTGTTTCAGAATGTTGTTGAACCCTACATCATTACAAGGTACTTACAATTTGCCATCTGCCTTGCAGATCACCTGCCAGGCAGGATCCGACAGGGCTGGGAGAGCAACCCCTGTCTCCCCAGGCAGCCTGCTAAGATAAAATGTTTCCTGGGAGGACAGATTGCTCTGTCTCACTTTCAAAAAAGTCTGAAGTTGTCTGTTCTCCCTTTTTTTCTTTAACAATGTCCTTTAATGCTGATTTAGAGACATATTATGAAGGCAGTATGGGGGTTCTGTCTCTGTGCCTCTCTAATCCTGATTTCTGTGGAGATCAGTGCTGATTATATGAAGAATTTTGTGCAGTGTCTCCACCTGTTCCACAGTTATTGGAATGAACACAGTAAATTACTTTACAAAGGTCCTTCCTACATCGTTTATTGCTGCTGAAAGCCAGACTTGGCATGAGTATTTAATTTCTCAAAGGAGGTATAGAAATAGTCATCCACCTTCTGTACTTAGAGAAATGGCAACTGCACAAATCACACAGCAAAATCTGGGGAGATGCAAAAGCACTTTCTGCCAGCCCAGGCAGGCACCTCAGCCCTCTCCAGGAGAAACTTTTGAAGAGCTCCCTAGCAATATATATTCCAGCTACACATTCTTTCATAAGCAATGACACATCGATCAAAGGGACTGGGATGCCAAACTCCTATCTTCTACAGTTATTTTCATCTGAAAACCTTTGCTTTGAAGTTACATCTTGACCTCTAAAACACTGTGGAGCTTCTGGGCTGACAACCAGGTTTCCTTAGGCAAGCGAGGCCCCACTGAAGTGAAGATGGAGAATTCATTGTGGGGATCAGTTCCTACTCTGAACTGCCATTGAAAGCAAACATTGATGCCTCAAGGGTTAAAAATACTTTTGCAAGAGCAGTCCATTATTTACTGACAAATATTAGGAACGAGGAGCAAAGAAGGCATGGACAGCACCTCAGTCTTTTATACATGTCTGACCATTTGATGACCAGAAGCTCCTGCAGTTGCAGCCACAGAAGCTCAGCTCTGTAACAGCCTCAGCCTCCAGCTCTGACTCTGCCCCTGCTAATGGACTCACGCAGAGGAGAGATAAACCCAACCCAGGTGATGTTTGTCATGCCCAACACTTCATTTCTGCTCACACTGCTTTACACCTTCCTTTTTCAAAGACTACACAAATTCCAGCTTCCACCTAGATTTCCTGTCCAGATCATCACTTGTCACAAACCCCTAACTGGGCGTGACCCGAGTCAGCACAGTGTGATGCTTCAGCAGGGATGGTCACATTGCCAACAGCAGTGGGTACAAACTAGTGTAATTAGTGATGTATGCCTCTGGGTTGTCAATCACCAGCTAGTACCTGAGTTCTCTGAAATCATGGAGAACAATAAAAAAGCAACCATCTGCTGTGAAACTGACTTTCTTAACATGTTGTCTTCCTGAGCTTGTGCTCATGTCCTGAAAGGCAATATTCCCAAGTAGTTATTTCCTTAGAAAATGTCCCAACAGCTACAACACACCTTGTTCCTCAACTTCAGTTGTATCAGAGACCTCATAATTACTGCTAGTGACATCACAGGTTAGAGAAAAAAGTACTCATTGATAGGGAGAAAAAATAAATCATAACAAATCTATGATAAAATCAGCCAGTTTTACTGTTTTGCAAATAGATCTTCCTTCCAGTTCAGCCCACCAGAGGGCAAGCATTGAAGTTCCACTGCTGCTCCCTAGAGAAGGTGGGAGTCATCCCTTCCTCCTGCAGACCACTGTGAACTTTATTTTTTACCAAACTCTCATGCAGGATTGCTGGTTTACTAAGGCTTGGTCTGCACCCAGCAGGGACAGATCAAGAAGGGCTCTAGCTTAGCCTGTGAAGTAAGACAGGTCTTGTCCTCACATCCAAGCTGGAGTCCTACTTGAAACTAATGATGTATTGATTCAGAGAGTGAGATATTGACTCAGCTGCAGTTGGAACCTTATCTGTGACACAAAGACCCACACGCAACAGGTTCAGTGCTGGCTGGAGGCAGCACAGCCCCAGCAGGGGAGCCGGAGGCAGCCACTGCCCCTGGCAGAACAGAACAGCTCAACCCAGCTCTGACCCAGGATCCTCCCGTCCCCTGGTGCCTGCTGAGCAGCACACCTGCCCTGGCTCTGCCCAGGGCTGCTCACAGAGCCTTTTTCCACCTGGGAGAGACTAGGAACACCTTCAATAACTGGATCCTCTTCAGGCAATGCAAAAGATGTTTCTTTTTCAGCTCTCCCCCCATTAGCATTTACCAGAGGCAGACAGAGGGCAAAAACTTCCCAATATGCTGAACTGTTCAAAGAGCCCTTCCAGACAGCACTGCCAAGCCTTGGGTTGTGAGCAGCAAGGGTGGATACCACCTTTCATCTTCTGCCTTGTCCAGACTCAAGAATATTAATAGCACTTAAAAATAAATAATGATGATAATGAAAAACCGTAATAGGGTTTCCTTACGATCGTTCTCCTTGCACTGGAGCAAATAAATTTTAATAATAAATTGTAGCTTCCAGCTTGCCAGAGAACAAATGTACACCACGGGATAAAATCTGCTCCAATGTGAGAATCTATTCAGAGCAGGCACAGAGCCCAGCCAGCTCACCTGTCGAGGGCTGACAAACTGGGGCCACCCAGCCTGGTGACAGCAGCCAGTGCGCAGCCCAGGCCATGCTCAGACAAAGCAGCTATGCCTACTTGGGCCAGGTTCTCCTCTAAAGTCATCAAGGGTGTCCACTGATGTGAGAGGGTCCTGAGACACCAACTGAAACCCTCTTTTGGGAAAGCATCAGAGTCTGTTTTCAAAAAGGCTCATGACACACCTTCATCTGGATTTTTTTTACACAGCAGAACATTCGCACTCGTGTCCTTCCCGTGCCTCTGCCCATGAGCAGTGTGAGCAGACCCTCTCCCACCACACAGAAGCTGAGTTTGGGGTGTTTGTGGGGTGCTGTGCTCCCCAGAGACATGCACCTTTCCCAGAGCACACGTGCTCACAGGTTGCCCTGGCTCCCCAAGCAGCCAGATGTGCTCTTTGTCTCTGGGCTGTCCCAGCTGATGCTCTTTGTGATGCCTTTTGAAAAAGCCTTAAGAAAGTCTAGTTAAGAAAAAAGCAAAGCAGAGGTTAAAGAAAGAGTCACTCTGACTCTGGCAACACACATGCAGATATGACAATGTAATATTATCAGTGCCAGAAGTAGCCTGATAAATCCACTGCTGAACTCTGGCCTTTTCCAGTCACTTCCATCTTCCTCTGCCCTGAGCAACAGATACTTTTGACAGTGGCAATTCTCCTGATACAGTCCATCCATCTATTTTTGTCTCCCTTTGTTCCTTCGAAGTTGCCCAGGGGATTTGGCTGAGTTAACTTGCCAAACCTTACAAGGGTAAAGTCTGTCCATCTCATGGGGGGCTGGCTGCCTGCGTGTGCCACAGCACAGGGGTCCCAGCCCTGCAGCTCCATCCTCTGGGGCTGCTCCTTTGCAGGGCCCAGCTGTGCAGTCCTGCTCTGCCAGAGGTGTGAGCAGGATCCTGTGCCCTCTGAAAAGGTACCAATTGCATCTTCAGGTTGAAATAGTGAAGAGGATATTTTGCCCACCTGTAATGTAAACTTCACTGTTCTGTCAAACAGTGAAGATTACAGTAAGCTCAGGTGTTAACTCTGACACTTGATCTAGTCTTTCATCCCTCAAGGGTAGATTTATTTTTTTAAATCTATGAAAAAACCCCTCTGATTACCATAAATCAATTTTCAGGAGCACTTGGTGCATACCTGTGTGCCTAGATCTATGTGGTAAACACTAATTTTCCAATTAAAAAACCCGAACCAAAGCATGAAACCAGTAATACTCTCAAGAAACCTGCTTTCTGCTCTCTTGCTTTGGGCACATAGCAATACACCACCATAAGGTCTGCTGGCTTCTTTTCTGGAAAACTGACACCAGAGCAGAGGGAATGACAATGGAAAATCCTGCTTGGGTGAAGCCTGCCCCAAGCCCTGTTGCTACTTGTGAAGGCTGAGGACCAATGTCACTGCAAGAGGCATTGCTCAGCTGGTGGCCCACCAGACTGCTAGCACTGGGGATTTGCTCTCAGGAAAAGGGATATAGGGCAGCAGGAGGGAAGCATGCCTGCCTGAGAGCACCACAACAGGATGAAACTATGGCCCCTCCTAGAAAGGAGGTGGACAGTCCCACCAGTGCCTTGGCATGACCATCCTCGCCCCAAGGAAGTGGAAGCTGAGGTGCACAGTGGATGTTCACTTACATGGAGCCCTTCTCCCTCTGTTTCTACCCAGAGTGGGTCCAGACCAGCAGAAAGGAGACACACACACACAATAATATCTCCAGCCATGCTGAATCCAGAGCCTGGTTGACATGGATAGGACACCGTGTGCTGGCCACCAGTGATGGGCCCTTCACCCTGAGGTGACAGGTCACATTTCCAGCTTTGACCTGGGTCACTGGTTACCACAAACCATTATTCCTTGATGGCCATCAAGCGTCCTGTACAAGATGAGGTGGTGGTCTTTGTTCAGCCTCCCATGAGCGTGTTCGTACCACACTGATTCCCATCGCATCTGACACAGTATTTGACACCAATTAGCAGCTGGAAGGTTAAGCCAGATGCTGTGGAGAGGAGTCTGTAGGAACTCATTTTGTAGCTCAGGTGTTCATTTGGGGCAACAAAGAGAACTGGAGATATCACGTTACTCTAGGCTCGGCCCTGCCTTGCCTGTGGAGGCACTTTATGGTTGCTTCACATCAGAGGGTAAATTTTCTCCTTACATGTGTTTTCTAATCTCTGCTGTGTCAGGTCTTAAGGGTTGGGACCTGCCTCAGCTACATGCTGAACTGTGCCCACTAAGA